CATCCACGACATTAAAGCATTTTTGGAACTAGCAAGGCCAGTTTACAGAAAATAAATGCATAATATTTCATATTTATTTTATTATCTTAAGTTTAAAATTCATTTTTTCACACAACCATTCATCACATATAATAATGAATGATTGACATGTTATTATGTATGTAATATAAAGTATATAGTGTTAGGTATGTAGTTTTTCAAGATTTGATTACTTTAATAATTTCTACTTTATTCTATGATCTACATTTCCTCTCTATGGGTGGCTTGCTAAATCATTCTTGGAATATTAAGCAGAAATAATACCATAGCAATATTGAAGACTATTGGAATATTTGTATCACCACATTTGTATTGTAAGAGATTCTTTTCTATATTAAGAGATAAAATAATTTGAGATAAAGAAGTTCAATTGTCTCAAACTAAGATGTACTGTTATTAATGTTATCATTTTCTTTTTATTTTATTATTCAAATGAAAGCTATAAAATTAGTAAATAAACATTTTCCTACACCATTCAGAAATCTAATTTCAGCTATTGCTATTTGATCAAATTTAAAGTATACAAGGTGAGGAAGTTTACAGATGTAAAAGTGAATGTTCAGTGTTTGTTACAGATACCCTTTAAAACGGCACTTTTTTGAAAATTTCTAAATATGGATATTTTTAGAAACATTACCACTTGGATGACTGAAAAATTCATTTATCGTGTTCAGGAATTAATGAAACCAACTGAAAATTGTCCTTCATATAGTAATCGGTTAATCTGTCCATGTGTTCGCGTGTCCGCCCGTTCCTTTATTCGGCGTAATTCCACTCATCTGTCAACTGATAAGGAACAGACAGTATTCTTCTAACCCCTCCCGTCACTAACTCACCCCACCACATTCATTGATAAAACTCGATGTTTTGAGAGCTTCTATGTACCTAAAGGCGTTTGCAGGGGTCAGAGTTGTGATTTATTTTGATAAAATTATGTAAATTATGTTACTGCATTTCCGCCATAACATGAAAGGTTACAACTCGATTCATCAGATCGTCAAACGTTAAACTTTATTTGTAATAAAACAAAAATATAATTAAACGGCTAGTGCTACATAATGGCACACACTTTCTCCGACTTATTATTTTTCTAACATCTTTAGTCTAGGCTGACTTTCTCAGCTGCTGCCTATCGGTGCCAAAACGGCTTTTTATCACATTTTCTCAACTCTAATAGTATAATTTAAATGGGAGAATATCACAGAAAAGTAAAATATAGTTCTGTATGAATATTTTCATTTAAAAAGTTATAGCCGATCTGAAAATACGCAATTTTTAGCTCATTTTCACAGAAAATTTTGATGTTCTCGATAAACTACATATAAAATAATTTTAAATACCTGTGCTGACAAATTCAATAAAGTATATAAAATTTCCGTTAAGAAAATATTAACGACGTGAGAGATAATGGAGAAAAACTTCAGTTATTAAAGGTAGTGAAATAGATTGGCAATTTGTGACGTAATAGGTAAAATCACACAAACAATTTTCCTGAAATTGTACACCTAGAAGTGCGTTTATAAATGTGCGTTTATAATTTGCTATTTTCGTTACTCCCACTTCTCACACGCGTTGTTAAAATATCACGATTCCATCGCAGGACCCAGGTCGACAGTGCTATCTGTCGGCGCCGAGCGGAACCAGTGCCGCGCGCGCGCCACCGCAAACAAACGAGGACCGCCGCTGCCGCCGCGCGATAATGCGCCGCCAAGTGGTTTATAGGGCTCTCAATCATTTCCGCATTAACTCGGCGTGTCAACGGTTGCCGACTTCAGTCTTGGGTTGGCCGATTTAATTAATGATGCAGGGCTCAGCAGCCGGGAGATCCGCACCAGGGCGCCCTCGCACAGGCCCCCGTCGCCCGTCGACCTCGCCAGAGCCTACGCCATTGCCGCCGCCCAGCTCTCAACCCCCTCACTACCGCCGCTGTAGCCGTCTCCCAAAGTCAAGACTCCATTTCCCGGCCACCCCCAACCCTCGTTTGCCACACACCTGCTCGGGTGCAAAATTTATCCACCACTACCCTGCTTCTACATCCCCGCCCTGCCCGCCCTAACAACCCTGGCCTCTCACTCAGCCCTGTACCGCCCTCAGCTCTGTCCCATCCACAGCTCTGCCCCACCCTCAGCTCTGTCCCACCCCCAGCTCTGTCCCACCCTCAGCTCTGTTACGCTCTCAGCTATGTTCCGGCCTCAACCCGGTTCCGGCCTCAACCCTTCAATCTTGCCTCTTCAGACCGGGTCCCATCCTCAAATCTGACCTGCCCTCACATCCTATCCCGCCCTCAAACCCTGACTCGCCCTCATTCCTGTCTCGTCCGCAACCCGCTCCCTGCCTCAAACATGTCATACACTTAACTGTCGCGCTCTCAACAGTGTGCCACCTTCAACGCTGTTTCGCCGTGCATCCTTTCCCACCATCGTACCGCCAAATCGAACATGGCTGTCTCCTCCGGCCATCACCACCACCACCCGCCGCCTCCCACTCCAGCGCCCTTGGCGAACCGGCCCCTTTTAGTCGCGCCTCCGCCGCTTCCGCGCTTTTATGTGCGTCCCCTATCTGCCAGGATCTAATTGCAATTACGACCCGCAAAAATGGCACATACTCTTTTCATTGCGAAAGTCTTTGCGTCGGAAAAGGGCTTTCAAAATCAACATGCGACTGCAAGCACGATGGAAGTTTTAACTAATTGATACAGAGAGAAGACAAGCTCGCAGTAAATTCAAGTTTGCATGTGAAACATGACGTTGCTTTGAAATGAAGATAAACATAATAATTCACAGTAGCACCAGAATAAATGGTCGTGCTCCAAACAATTACGGATTTATATTCACGACATAAGTTCTTCATTTCAAATGATTGTATTTTATTTCTAACGTTAATTAAAATGTTGCTTTTTTTGTGTCTCGTCAATGCTTTTTCGGTATTTTAAAATACATTTAGTTCCATTAAAATCTTTCACACGAGAATCAATGATACTTAACCATAAAAAAATTATATTTTATAAGTTTACATATCGCTTACTTTCAAAGAAATGTGCTAGTGGTAAGTGTAATGTTAATTACTAGGTGAACCCTCGCGATTACATCGCGTAAAAGGGAGAACTTTAGAAAAGGTGTAACACAAAAGAACAACGTATGCGCCATACATAAAATTGACCCCACCTACTACTGATATATTAATGCCGTTCAGTACTTATCTCCTAAGCCAAATGAAATGATGGAGATTTACGAACTTTGGAGAAATACATTTAGAATTCATTGAAAACACTGTTTTTGAAACTAATAGAAATGATCTATGTTCACCAAAATCTTAACATTCATGTTGTAGTTGTTTTTTTAGAAGGAAATCCTACAATTCACCTTACTTTAAAATCGTAATGCATCATATGCAATAATAATTACTGACATTTTTTGTGGAACACATATTTTTGCTGCAAATTGCGTTTATACACACACAGCAAACTTTGCGTTTAAAAACACACTATCTTCAAACTTAAAAACTCAGTAAGTTTGTTTCTCTAACTATAACTTCACACTTGCACAAGCTCACTCGCGCTAGACGAGGTGAACGTGCTAGACGAATTGAACAATGATAAGCGTTATTACAACAGATAAGTGTTAATTGTATTAATTTTAAGGTGTTATTTCATTTCAGTAGATATAATTAAAAACACGTTAAGAATATCTAAGGCTAACACATCCGCTATCCTTCATTAAAAAACAAAAAGCACGAAATTCAGTTCAATAGAAAGCATTTCATTCTAAGCAAAACCCCTCAGTGTTTTTAATATGAAGATTATGATAATAATAATAATGCAAATAATAATAATAATAATAATAATAATAATAATAATAATAATAATACAAAACCATCATTACTGCCTTGATCTTAGTAACAAAATTATGTGGATAAATTAATACTTAACCTCGAGAACAACCGACTTTTTCTGCATTCAAATTTTTGATAGTAATAGACTGTAACATGAAGCTTCGTGTTTCACAACGCAATTTACGTTCACTTCTCTAAATTTTCTTCATTTTACAAGACCAGGCAAATAATCTGCATCACTCTGAAAATTGTAGCATTATTGCCGAACGTAATTGTCTGTCATATTTTTACAGTAAATATTCAAATAGGCATTAAAGATTTATGTAGTGCTTATCAGCATTCCATTTCAACCATCACATCTAGAACACAATATGACATATTGATCAATTTGTAAACATAGGAACTATTTCAAATTTAATTCATTTTTTGGACTGTAATAAATCGTTTCTTTCATAGTTACTACGGTTTTATCGAATGCTCGGTGGGTTAATATGTTATTTTTTTAATAAATTCGAGATTCAGAAAAACCGTTTCACTTCACGATTGAAGTTGAAGTTATGATCCCTACTCTACGAGATGTTTAGTCATTCTGGGAACAAATATTATTTTGACACACGAGGTAAAAGAGACACTAATTTCAAAATACTTTATTCAATTCGTTGACTTAATAGTGCATCAGCAATTAATTTCAAACCAAGATTCCCTTTTCTGAGATGTCGTATATCTCTTCAAATATCAGTATCGACTAAATTCTTCATCTCCCGCCTTTTCTCTCGATTCACACATCATCTGCCTCGGCGTGCCGGACTTTTCGCCATCGACGTCACGTCTTGCTGCGTCGCTCTCCTCCTCGGCGCCCGACGCGACGCGACGCGACGCGACGCAACGGCGCCTTGCGGCACGAGGCTGCCGGCTGCGGCGCGCGGCCGTCAAGTGTTTATGAAAGGGCTTCCGCGGGTCGCTGGCGGCGGCTGCGGCGGCCGCTGTGATGCGTCAGCCCACGCGTACATCACGCGCCACACAGCGGGCGCTCGGCGACCACCCTGACAGCGCGAAGCCGCGTGCAGACTTAATATCCAGAGCCCCTGCCACCCACGACCTCGCCCCCTCACCCCCGCCCGGGACGGCGCATGTGCCATCACCGCCTCCGTCGTCCTCGTCAGGGCTGCACAAGCTGGGCACTTCGCGTGCGCTATTTTGATGCTACCAAGGAGGGTAAATTATTACCTCGCATAACGCACCACAAACCTCCGTATGTGCCGTCGACACCTGCGTTGTCTGTACAAGGGTTGCACAATTTAGGCGCGCCCGGCGCGCTACTCTGCAGAAAGCGCGCGCAAGCAAGGAAGGTAACTCATTACCTCGACTGTTACGACCACTGCCTCCGTAACTTCCAGCGCTGTCTCTATGTGCTAGACCTGCACAAGAAGGCACTTCATGCGCGCCTTTGTGAAGTAACCCCGTGCCAGAGAGGAAGGTAAATTATTACCTCGCATCACACATACCAAACCTCCGGAGTTGACACCGCCGCCTCCGTTGCCTGTGCAAGGGGTGCACATGATACGCACCACACGCGCTACTGTGCAGCAAACGCGCGCAAGATAGGAAGGTATCCTATTACTTAGAATGTCACGCCCCATGCCTCCGTAGCTGCCAACGCCGCATCTGTACGCTAGGACTGCAGAAATTAAGTGCTGTCGGCAAGCTCCTCTAGAGTATCCGCTCAACAGGAAAACTAGTGGTGCTACAACAGCACTCACTTTTTCGTATTATTCCTGAATTTGACATTTTCGAAAATTCCAAGTTTTCAACAAAAATTAGACGCTCCATTATTTTAAGCATCTCTTCTATCCCTGAAAAAACTTTAAAGAAAAAATTTGCAGCTGTTTTTAAGAAGCAAATATTCTTTTTTTTTAAATTCCCTGTATTTCGTGCTATATTATAGGAAAACTACTCAAAATTTTGATAAAATCAACAAAGATCTACATAAAGATCCATCTTTAAATACCAGATTTAATTAAGAAAAAATCGCGGGAAAAAGAAAAAGAACAGGAACGAGTCTTCATTTGCCAACAAAGGCTCGCAGGTCTCTCAAGGACCGCAACAGTCGTACCGCTTTCTTTCGGTCGAACACTGTGCAGCAAACGCGCGCAAGATAGGAAGGTATCCTATTACTTAGAATGTCACGCCCCATGCCTCCGTAGCTGCCAACGCAGTGTTCGCTCTGTGCGCAGTTTGTAGCGTCCGTGGGTTTCGCTTGTGAAAAGCACCATGAACTTTTTCACAAGAAGAAAATAATGAAACATTTTTTTATTAATTTTAATTACAAATGAAATATAAAAATGGTTATTTTTAATAATATCCGTTCCGTTGTTGAGCGGTTTCAATTGCAAAACTGCGCTGATGTTTGCAACATTTCATCTGCATTAATTGCAAGTAATATTCGCGCCTTTCACATATTTCGAGAACAATTGTAGAAACTTCTCGGCATTGAACCTATACATTTCCAATAGCCTATACTTTAATTCGGCATATTCTGTCCTCCTACCTTGCCCGTCTAAGGTAAGCGTTGCATTTATCTGATGTGGAAGAAGTTCCATAAGATTTGCTCCCCAATCTTCTTCCGGAATTTTTAACTGTTCCGCCTGACTTTCGAACACACTCAGAAATGCCGTTATGTCGTCGTTCTCTCCTTTGAATCGACTCATAACCTGGTTATTCGAATGTGGACTTTAACACTCGATTCAAGCTGCCGACTAGCTCTACTCGCCTGTTCGCTCTGTTCTATCCTGAGTTTTTTTTCTAATTGGAACGCGCGTTCCGCCTCCCATTCAGCTCGTTCTTTTTCTAATTCGCGTTCGGCCTTCTCTCGTTCTTTTTCTAATTCGCGTTCGGCCTTCTCTCGTTCTTTTTTATCCTTATGGGCCTGAGCTATCCCTTTCACAAATTCCTCCTCGTAATCGGGATGCTTCTCTATCAATATTTTTAACACTACCAAAGTTTCCACACATGTGACTTCGAGTCCTAATTCCCGTGCCCCGTGCACTACACAATCTTTCCCGAATCTCGGTAAGTCATAATTAAAACCTAAACTGAGCTTAACAATGCAGATACCTATACTTACGCCGAATACTTGCTGAATTGGTGATTCTGCCAAAGCCGGGTGGCCTCGAGACGTCCTTCCTTCCTTCTCCGTCTTTCCTTTCCCGTGCGGTTGTAGCGTAATTAAGTGAATCCGTCGCCACTCCCACCCCACGCCCATCCACGTTACCGCCAATTATGCCTACATTTGATGGGTACTAAGCTCTTCTCCGTAGTATTTGATTACCGCTGCCACCAATTATGCCTATAGTTGGTGTGCTCTATTCTCCTCCCCCGTGGGATTTGTTTACCGCTGCCACCAATTATGACTACAGTTGGTGTGCTCTATGTTCAACCACTCCTCACCCCGGAGCACGCACACATCATCGCTCCCATGTGACCGCAGTCATCCAAGAACACAAACGCCTCCACAGGCTCGTCAACAAGTGACTTACTCGCGAGCCCTGCTCGCCGCTGCACCGTCGTGGCGCCAAGTTTTTGTACAACTGCACGAGGTTCTCCCACTGTCTCCAGAACCCACCCACTGGCTCTGTGCACTCCCTTATATACTCGAGACTCACCTGAGGTACTACGTCACGCCGCCTCCGCAGCGCCCTTCTGCTTGCCATGAGGTTTGGGTCTTCGTTCCTTAAGAATGGTGGACCCCAAAGCCTCGTGTCTTCCTTTGCCGCGTGCTTGCTTTTAGGAAAAACCCTTCTCCCTCCAGTGGCGAGGCGGTTTCCTGTTTCTAACCCCCTACCACGCGCCCCCAAATAGCTGCCACGAGGTTCACTGACTAACACGTTACAATACTATCACCTGATGAATATGATTAATACGCCGAGTGTTGTAGTTATAGACAACGGCTAACAACAAATTAAAATATATTCCCGCCCTCAAGTAAGACATTTTTGACGAAAACCATGGCTTCATATTTGAAGAGACAAGGTAATGGTAAAGTACCTAGATTAATAAAGAGAGGTTTATAAGAATCATGTGGATGGGATTTGCTTATTATTCGTACAATTCTTTTTTGTAATATAAAAATCTGGGAGCTATACGATGTATTTCCCCAGAATATTATGCCATATCCCAGGCGGGAATAAACATTCGGGTAATATTTGCCGCGTGCTTGCTTTTAGGAAAAACCCTTCTCTGCCTCCTGTGGCGAGGCGGTTTCCTGTTACTAATCCCCTTCCACGCGTCCCCAAATAGCTGCCACGAGATTCGTTTGCTAGTACGTTACAATAGTCATATTTCCTCCTATTTGTTAAAAACCATTTAAATTACTTTCAGTTTTCGTATTTTTAATACTTACCTATTTTATTTCTAGTAACGAAACTTCATTTATAGGTATAGATATGACATATCAACATGCATGACACATTCTAAAACTTACGTGCCGCAAAGTATGACTTTCTCGACACTTCTTTGCTCACATAAAACTAAACATCTACCAATGTGTCTTAGGTGAGCGCATGTAACAAATTCCGAACGCATCTCAAACATTGATGTGATTGATGTGATAGGGGGTAAGTAAAGAACCCTGACTTCCAAAATTGATATTACCGAACCAGATGTTCTTCCAGGAAGGTAAGGTAAATGAGACTAAATGAGAATGTTAATTCAGAGAACAGACAGAGCTAGGTCAATTTCAGCCGCTGTCTGGAGGAGACCTCTAGCGGTCAGCTGCTCTCATCTGGCTTTCCGTGTTTTCTTCAATCAATGCCACGTAAATTCCGGAGCACAATGGGCGGGCAACAGACCGCACGCGATCTTTCTTTCTTTGCGTTAAAGGAGTAATTTTCCATATTCAGCAACAGGATGAATCAACTTTTTCGTTGCCTGACCCCGGCAATAAGAGTCTTTCTTACGACGTTTTCCGGCGCACGATTACATGACTTTCTCTTCTTACCTTCGTAAGAATCTTCATACCATCGTACGTACCTTCGTACGTACCTTCGAAGAACGTAAGTCCCTTCGTAAGGGCGAGAAAGTAAAAATTGACCAAATCCGGACAAAACGAATTATTAGTTGGCCGTTCTCAGTCGCTTACTTTCAGAGCACGAACGAGTCTTTACTTGCCTACTAAACCTACACTCGTAGTTCCCCCAAGGACCGTCTTTCTCTCTTCCTACCCTCTACCTTTACACACACTCTTATACTTGCTTCATTACACTACCACAAATGTCGGAAGACAAATCGGAAGCTTAGAGAACGTCCCGTCTGAGGTTATGGCCACGTTGGGGAAGATACCTGAAGAGGGAAGCCCCTGCAGCCGACGCATAGGTCGATGCCAGTCCTCACCACTCAGCGGGCAAAGAATCATCGGAGTGCTTAGAAACATCAGTTATTAAATCACCCAAATGTCGTTTACAATGTCGCCAACTTTTCTTTGAACAAAAATTCAGTGTATTGTATTCTTTTCTTGTAAGTGGTCATTTAATGTGAGTAAATGAAGAAAATTTCTGTGAAGGAGGTCGTCTGTGATTTTAACAGGGTACATTAACAGGAGGTATGATTTACATACAATGCATGGTCTTCAGGGTCAGTTCGTAGAGAAAAAAGCGGTCATAAGAGGGGTGTTTCGTTTAATAGGGGTGGTTTTTCAGAGAGGTATAAGTGAAGCTCAGTTATATCCTCCATTTAAAGGGGAATAAATAATGTTGTTAATAGAACTGCTTGGGCGATAAAAGGTGTCGAAAGACCGGTGACGTCTCCAGCATTCGTTATCTATTGCTGACTTTTCTATCACCGACGCGGAGAGCACACCCCAGTACAGGTTTAATGTCTGTATCGTTCATTTTCGATAATGACAGTCAGATAGCATTTTCGGACATAGCGGTCTCGGCTCCGCTAGTCTCGTCGCTGGGAACGATCGGAACTGAATGTCTTTGTGAGAGGCTCTAAAGCTGGCATTTTACGTCAAAAGTCGGAACGCGCCATTGCACAAGCTGGCACACAAAGTGCGCGCAATTCCTAGGCCCACTGTCTGCTCCCACTGCTCGTCCCACTTGCGTTCTCTAGCTCACCGCCGGCTCAACCCGGTGTTGTCCCGGCTTTCTTTGCGTCCATCACCGAGTCGAGTCATCCCAGCGGGTTGAAGCCCCCTCCTCTACAGTCGTCCCCTCTTCCACCGCGGACGCTGCCTGGCTTGATTTATCCCCAGCAGTCTGCCACGAGGGCGCCGCTGCGGCGACGCAGCTGTAAATGGCCCTGCAGCACTGTCGCCGCTGCAGCCTCCCCGGCTCTGCGGTCATGATCTACTGTTTCAATACAGACATTATGTTTGTCTTCCGTAAGTTACCAGTAAGCCTAAAATAGTATGTAAAGGCAACATAAAGGGGATGTTTCTTTCAATAGTATACGTGTTATTCAAGATAGTATGCTTATTAT